TATAATAGAATTTACCGCGACCTCATCGCGAAACATGTCCTAAAACAAGATGTCTAGTTGACATGTGTGTGACAGAGCTACATAATCAAATTCATATTCATTATAATCAAACAACACAAACTAGTGACTGGTATATAGCAGCATGAGCGGTACACACACACACACACACCTGCACGGTTGAGAGTTGCTCCAGGGTCACTTGCGGCACTTAGCAGGTTCGGAAATGAGAAAAATCAAGGGAACCGAAGGGTCGACGTCTGATTCGGTAACCAGTCCGATCGGTAACTAGAATTCGGTAACCAAAACCGCTGATTCGATAACCAAAACCACTGATCCGGTAACCACAACCAGGAAACCAAACAATATAACATTTCCAAAAGAAGAAACTGATGACCCGGGTCCGGGTAGTGGTGGTGGTAGTAGCAGCAGCAGCAGTAGTGGTGGTGGTGGTACGTAGTCGTCGTCGTAGTAGTAGTAGTTGTTGTTGTTGTAGTTGTAGTAGCAGTAGCATTTCAGCACAACACAACCAAGACTGTGCGCGTGTGTCTCTCTTGGTGGTCACAAGCACACAGACCAACAAAAGCTCTTGGTCAAACCATGCCAAACTAGCATGGCAAAACCCTCAACAAATTCATCTTCACCTTTCAAACTTACAAATGCTCGTGAAGACGTCGTCGCTTTTAAGGGCAGCGTACTACACTTCGCTGTAAATACAACGATCAGGAGACTACGATGCAGAAACCAACCGATTGTTTCCAACCACCTGCTGTAAATACCATGTTCTTAGACCCTTTGCAGCCACATGGAACCTTATTATCTTGGCCATCACTCGAAATATATTCAGCCATATGCTGTAAATATAACATATCTTACTTGAATGAATGTAAAAAGCCCTTTGCTTGTTATCTTGGCAATGGTTCCCCCCCACCCCCCCACCCCACCCCACGCTCCTCCTGCCATCCACTCTATTCAGCCACATGATATAACTACAAACATCTTCTTGCTCGAATGAATGCAAAAACCCCTTGCATCCACACCCCACACTCCTCCTCCCCCCCACCCCATTGCAACCATCGTCCGGCTTGGTTTCTGAATCGGGACTCGCTTGGTTTCTGAATCGGCTCATTTGGTTCCTGAATCGGGCCATTTGGTTTCTGAATCGGACTGCCATGGTTTCTGAATCGTAGTCGCTGAATCGTCCTTTTGGGTTTCTGAATCGCACTTTCTGAATCGGCTATTTTGGTTTCTGAATCGTAGTTTCCTGATCGGTTTCGTTCTGAATCGGCAAATGTCCGAACCGAAGGGAACAAGGTCTCCAGCGTGGCCATGCGCAGCTGGCACAACTCAATCTCACCGGATGGATAAGGACTTTAACGGCGCATTCGCGGATCTTTCGCAAACATGTACCGGTGATTTCCTCGACAGTGGGGAAAGCAATCGGAGAATCGTTTATGCACTGTGACAGCTGCGTTAGGACAAGTTGAGGTTTGACTTTGGTAGTCTGTGACAGTTACAAAATGGTTTTGCGAACCTCATTGCGGATGATTCGCCAATTGTTTGGACAGCATCTGGAAGATTCTGGAAGGTAGTCTGGAAGGTCTTTACACTGTTACACGACAACTTACACTGCACCTTTTGAATTTTGGTCAACTCCCACAAACTACACAATACATCACAATACAACATGCATCAGCTATATGACTACATAATCTTGCAGCGAACAAAGGTGCCCTACGCGATCCCGCTCAGGCATCGGCTTTTCTTGCACAGTATCTGGCAAACTGAAGAACTTCACCTCATTAAGTCGACATTTGCCAAAAGTGGAACAGCCCATCGTGGACCGACACAGTCGGCCTATAGCGGAAGACTTCCGGTAAGTTTGCACAGAATGAGACACAAAACTCCAATGACTCAATGCTCTTGACTTGGCTCTAGGCCTTCTTGGCATCCAACTGCTCCTGCGAAGACTGTTTGCTGAAGGAGTTCATCGTGGGACCCATGGTCGCATAGTCACCCATGTCCATAGAACACATATTGCTTAGTGTTTTAAAATTTGTTTTTCTCTCTCCCTCCCTCCCATTCGCATCCATTCGCTCTCTCTCTCTCTCTCTCTTTCTCTGGAGGTCGCTGTGCTGTTCAACAAATCTTCGTGGTCCTTGGCCTCGAGTCTATTCATATCTATGTAACCACTGGACAACAAAACATTGATCCAATCAAGTCGTCTAAGCTCAATATGAAAGACTGAGGCCAAGTTTCACAGGCAATGTGTTCAGGCAGCTTGGCTGTCATGAATACTTTGCAGCGCCAGGGGCTCTTTTTTTGCGGGGCATCCCTGGCGTTGGTGTCTAGAAAAAATTGTTCGCAGAATCATTCTGAGCAAATCCATCAAGGCCTTCAACAGTTCTGACTTCCCACACTTCTACAATGCGTTCATCCTACTCTCATCCCCCAGAATTATGCTGACCTCGCTTCTTCACATAGTAGGGATAAGCTGCAATGACTGCGCTCTTGGTAAGCACACAGCAGCTTGCACAAAAACCAAAGAGCACCAGCAACACCAAATATGCGTTCAAAATCCAGGGAATCTGATCTGTTGCGACGGAGGATGAGCCATCGTCTCGCCACAAACAAACGCTGTTAATGCAGAAACGAAGCCCCGTGGCTGGTGGCCCATCGTCAAAAACGTGCCCCAAGTGGGCGCCGCAGGCAGCACAGTGGACTTCGGTGCTTCCAAATTGCAGAATGTCTTTGCGATATCCGAGAGCATTTGCTACTGGAGCAGTGAAGCTGGGCCAGCCACTCCCAGAGTGGAACTTCGCGACAGCGGGGAATAAAGGCTCTCCACAACATGCACATCGATAAGTCCCACCTAGGCACCACGAATACAGTGGGCAGCCTCTTGGACATTTCAATAAGTTTATGCTTAGAGCATCTCAGAGCAGCTTTCTGGGACGATTTGCATGACTGGCAAACTAATTATGTACAACAAGTTTCACTGACTTGGTTTTAGATAATGAGCTGGGAAGTTTCACTGTCATCAAGTATGGCCGACCTCTTAAAGCCGACAGGACACTGGTGTTGGACTCGTCCACTCGGTCGTGCACTCCACTGAAAGCTCTTTCGGTACCACCAGCTGCGCAAACCTTTTAGGCCAGCTGTCGGACGTGGCATGCAACGCAAAATCACAATACGTGTCATTCAACTGACCAAACAAACGAAGCCCATGAACCTTTTATGCATTGAATGAAGCGCGAGGGGCTTGTTGAAAAAGTGTCCTTCCATCTGGGATGTCCCTTTTGTGGTCACAAAGTTCAGATCTCATGTGAGTGCCTTTGCTTCCGGTGATGTCCCAGCCACCTGCTGAAAGTGACCTTGGCATGTGAAAACAACTGGTCAGCCATTGGCCCCAGGCTTGACAGCACTACCACTACTAGTAGCAAAACATAGCAAAACCCCGTGCAGCCCGGCTGCATGACTATCAAAGTGGCAGCCATGAAAAGTAGACACGCAATATTGTACAGATTCTTGCGCCATGGCGACTCTGCAAAAGAGTTCATTTTGGGGGTGCTGGACCTGCATCGGGCCCGCAGCTGCTTTGGACTTCACGAATGCCAGCGAATTCTGCTCTACAACCCTTGGCTCCATTCTTGCTTGCACATCTTTGCAATCCACGCAAAGATCATCCATTTGGGTACCAGGAAGGCCTGAACCTATCGGATTTGCAGAAAACAATGTATGATCTGTAAAATTATGTCTGCATATTAGTTTAGCAGCTCACCTCTCACCAAGACACTGCAAATGATACGGGCTGGCCTCTGAGAAATGGACAACAACTTGCATTGCATTCATTTAGCAGCATTGGCAACTCTTCAGCCCGTCTGAACTTTGCGCATGGTCAAGTCAACCCCTGAACTCCTACCTTTCTTCGTTCACGTAACCACAACTGGCTTTCGCAACATTGCGACACCAAACTTCACGAACAAGTTCAGGTGTCGTGGGATGCATGGCTGAACCCAATTCCACCAGAGCGCGTTTCGGCCTGGACATCAGCAATTTCTTTCAACTTCTTCTTGGAATTCTTGTACTGGTTCCTCTGTGCCTAGTGCGAGACAGGTATCAGCGCACGAGCGATACAGGCTTAACTTCTGAGGCACTTGCGTTGGTGAGCCGGTTTAGTGGATTGCCTGGGTAGGGCGGAGGTCTGTGGGCTCAGCCCCTAAGCGATCAAACCCATCAATCACCGTAGCTCAAGCTATCTAAGAGCCCTGACTTCGCGCCGGGGCCTGGGTGACTTCTGGTTGTTCTACGACTTCTGCCTGTGGAACCACCTGCAGCTTCTCGGCACTCAGTGCAAACTTCGAGCACAAGCTAGAATGTCCATCTGAAATCCTGCCCACTTTTCACATCGCCAACTTTGCCATCTTATCTTGGCTATCTCAATCCCACCTCAACTGACGCGACCTTCTCTGCGGAAGCTCGCTCTGCAGCAGCTTTCTCTGCTGCAACTTTCTCCGCAGCAGCTGCAGCCTTCTGGGCGATAAGTTCCTCATGACTCAGGGTTTCACACATCCCCAGTCAATCGGAGCACTCAATGCACACATGCAATGCCGTATGCGCATGCATGCGAGACATGTTACAGTAATTCAACTGCATAGCTATATAATATAAATATACTTTGTTATGCAGTGAATCGAAGTGGTACCTGGCACGTGCAGTGCGGGTTGCCAATGAGAGCTCTGAATGTTTGGCGAAGTCAGCGGATAACACATACACAACACGCATACCGCATAACTTCATATAACTTCTAATTTCAAAACTGTCACGCTCTGCCTCCTCTTGCTTCTGCTGACGTTCGCTGAGCTCCTTCTTACGGCGCTCCTCCTCCTCCTGTTCCTTTTTTTGTCGCTCCAATTCCTCCAACAACAGCAGTAGATCACGCCACACAATTTCTGTAAAGTTTCTGGTCCAACTCGCAGGGAGGTCCAACTCGGTTTATTTTAGTCCGGCTGAGGCACCCAATCGGGCTCCCCACTGCCCCTGCAATATGCTCCCACTGGCTTGAGGAGCTGCTCATTGAGCTTTTCATTAAAAGCGCCCACAGCAATGACAAGTGTTGATCACTCTAGCTCACTCGAGCAAGAAGGTCTGGACCTGGCCTCGATTTGGAAGCACGGTCGAAAACCCCTCAAAACTTTAAGGCACCTCTGCCTGACTCTACCTTGTCCGTTTCCATCAAAATGATCTCCACAGAACAAATCAACATATTGAAAATATGGCCCTGGCGGCTCTGGCGGCGCAGGCCCCTGTGGAAGTCCCCGACATTCTCGCGTCCCGAAATCTTACGAAATCTTCACAAAGCAGCATCAATGCAACCTCTCTCTCCCTCTCAAGTAGGCCACAATCGTCCAATTTGATAGTGGGATCATTCACCAAGTGAGTTGCCCACCGCGTTTCTCTTCGTCGCCTTGTCACAGGGGCCCATCATCTACCACGTGTTTGGCACACAGCGATGTACACACCAGGGTTTGCATGTCCTAAACTTCAGCTTTCTCAGGGCCCAACCATTTCATGCAATGACTTGTCCCCATCCATGTCGTGAATCCTGAACAAAACGGCTGGAACAAAAAGGGGTCTGTGAGATGTTGTCCGGATAGTGAATAGTTAAGAATGTCGTAGTAGACTTCCTATGCCTCGCCTCTGTTTCAAAAGCCGTATCTCCGCCTCAACCTCCAAAATGTCCTTGACTCTACATGAAGTGTCAACTGGCATTGGTGACCCCTTGGAGGGGCAATTGCAAAGTGGTCCTGCTGGTATTTTATGACTTCTGTCTCGCCATACTTGACGTCCTCCTGACATCATGTTGGACCGCTTCATGTGCATCAACTGCACATCAGGTTGAATGGACACCGTGTCACGGGGGCACACTCGTCGAAAGGAAGAACACACATACAATACATGTGAGTATATACATGCATACATATATAAAAAAGCAGTGAGCACTATTTTGGTCCACTTCGCAGCAGGTTTCTCAAACTTGAAAAGATAACGTCAAACTTGAACAACCCTCACTCCCTTACACAGGGTATCCTCACCCTGAAGGATTAATTCCAAACCACCTGGCCACACCCAAGGTGATGTGGAATCATCCGGCTGTTCCGTCGATGCGAGCCACACCTCCTAACAAAGAGGTGAACAGCCAAAAAAAGGGTTAGGGGAAAACGTCAGGAATTAAAAGAAGGCTTCTTTTCCCTCTGCCTCGCTTCTTCATGGGTTTCTTTGAAACATGTGAATTCCTTCCACTGCCCCCTGCCCTTCCGCAAGGAGGCTCAAGCGTGGAAATTACAGGAGCGGTGAGAAAATTCTTGTAAACCGTCAACCAGGGTTTCAGTTTGGGATCATTGGAAGGCTGGCATCTGTGCAAGGACTGCTAGTCCCTCATTGAGGTAGATCCTGGCACTCTTTTGTGTGTGCCACCTGCCCTGAACCAGGATTTTATCCAGGCTTTGGTGCTTCTGAAAAAAGAAGGTCGCCCCCCCCCTACGGAGGGAGTAGGGTCTAAAGCCCATCTCAGAAATGCCAAGTCCTTCAAGACATTCGTTGAAGAGGCGCCTCCACTTTGCAGGCGAAGGGGTCAAAGGAGTGCTTGGAGAAGCTCGTTTCTTCCAAAGGCGCAGCAACTTAACGACGGGTTCATATCCGAGGACCATGCTTTCTGCCGCTCCATGTCTCTTACCACCCTTGGTAAGCCCCAAACTTATCAGGGCCTGCAAAGCATGGGGCCCACACTCAATGTGGGAAGAAAGGAGTCCGAGAATCTCCCCTGTCCTCAACAGAACCCTATCAAGAGGATCATCGAGTGGAGGATAAGCTCAGCCAGGGGCGGTGCCCGGCTGGGGATCTCGTTTTGATGCCACGCCTTCACCGGTTGCCGATGCTTCAATCCAGGTTGTAAGTCTTGGAGCCCAGCAAGCGTGTCGCAAGCCAGGCTACGTCCTTTGCCCTGGAACCAGAGATGTTCCAGATAGTCGCAAACAAGGGGGTCCATCTTGTCACGGGTGGTAGGGAGTGACAAACCTTCATCCCGCAAGAAAACCAAGAACTGATCAACAGCTGCATTGTATCGCTGGGTTGCACCGTCAAAGACTTGAGGCTGCCCAACTGTCTCCGTTGCTTTGCTTGCTCTGCTTCCGAACCTCCTTCAAGGATGCGCTTAGGCATTCCTAAACTTCGTTTTGACATACCCCCCCCACCGACTAGGCTTGTCGGCAGGGTTGGTGTCAGTCGACACGTGACGTAACCCCAAACCACCTGAGAGGAGGATGCCAGAAGCAGAGCGTTGATCCGGGCCATCGTGCTCCGTAACTTCTTGGAGCTCGTGCGGCCACGAGTCAGGATATGGAGACAAACAAGCGAATCAGTCAAATGCAACATGCAGAAACCAAATTGTTTTTGCCGTTCCAGACGCCAACGCAGGGCATTGAGAATGGCGCGCAGCTCGAGGCAGTTGATATGCTCACGCCCTCTAGTCCATCGCCAGCCAGAGACGACTTGCCAACGCCAAAGGCGCGTGGGCACAGATGCCCTCAGACGGTGGAACTCGACCAATTGGGTGCTAGGCGTCGTCAGCATAATGTCCTCTCCCTTGAGTGAGACCAGGTTGCACAGCTTAAAGGCCAGTTTGTAGGGGTCGCCGGTGTCCGGCTCGGTGAGCGACAGGGGCAAACGAATCAGTTTTGCTTGCAAGGACTCCGCAGCCCCCGGCCTACAAAGATCAACGATGCCCTGAGGATCAAACTTCTGGCAAACCCCCAGCGGCGAAAACAACTGATTCAATAGCCAGGCAACCACCGGTACACTCCAGCTGTTTCCCAGAAGCGTGAGGCGTGCATCGTTATACTTTGAACCCTTGCTCTCACGCTTGCCCAAACATGGCGCGGTGTAATGGAGGGGGAACCCCATTAACCACATTCTTCTTGTTGATCACCCCGCGCTTGTCAATGTACTGGTACGGGGGGAAACGATGAAGGTCCTCTTGCCACCTTGCTAGCTCATACGGCTGGCATTCACGCAGCCCCGCTGGTTTGCGTCCAGTTTGCTTTGACGGCCGGGCAGTAGTAAAGGTGGGGAATGCTCTATTGCAATCAACTTTGACCCATCCGGGCTCAAGAACCTTGCGAACATCTTGGTCGGCTGTCAACTCCCAGGAATCAACCTCCGTCCCTGAAGTCAAGATGGCCCCGGGGCCTTCCGTCAGTCCCCAGGTGGCCCAATACAACCTGGGGCGATGGCACCAAGTCATCCTACCGGCGTCAGTGCTGACAGGCGCGCACCCAAAATGCTCAGACATAGTCACCCGATCTTGTCGGTCCATGGAGGCCACCGACTCCATGACGCCCACTTGAAGTGCCGCTTCACTAGCTCTCGAATTCGACTTCAGGGCTCCACGTCTGTCAGAATTGAGTCCCAAAACCCCTTGACAGGGGGGGCCTCCGCCAATGATCACCAGGGCGCACTGTGAAAACTTCAAGCTCCAGTTGTGGACCATCTCCTCATCGACCAGGGCCACATCCGCCACACACATCAATGCAGGGATCCCCAGGGTAGTGAGCTTCCACCACTCGGTTGGCGATGGGGTTGGACTCCACCGATATATAGCCTCCAACATTTATCCCTTGGAGATCCATAGCAACACGGAGTGCACCAATGCCATCAAAGAGCCCAATGACAAGGATTTGTTGGTAATCAAAAGGCGTGGGATTCTGCCACCTGAGGTGCCCTCTCTCTGCCATAACTCCACATTACTGAGGCCCTTTGAACAGCACACTCCTCCTCCCGTTGTTGAGGCGTCACTGCACGTGACCATAGGGTGGACATCACCCCGAAAGTCCATCCACCCGAGTGGCTGGTGCCGTGGAGCCTCCTCGGTGAAAGACTCGATAAAGCGCCAGACACTGTTCAAGGCACCGAGAAGCTGTCTCCTGAACATGGAGAAGTAGACTAGCCCCCCCGCTGGCGGGTTAGTAGGTCAAGGGCGAGGCTGAAGTACTTTTCCAGCTTACCTTCCTTGGGGAACGCAATACCAAGCACGCCATCAACGGTAGCCCCCTGAAGTTCACACCTTGAAGACCTGGCAACTCCCTTCTTAGCGTTCCTAGGCACCTCCCACTTCTCATACTCTGCACGTAGTGCCAACACAGCCGGAGGCACCGTACCCTCGAGCTCAATCATCCCCGTGGCAGCGACCTTCTCCAGTAAATCGTAGTTATCTAGATATACTCTCCAACACGGATTGGCTAAGGTGAAGGCTCTGTCCTTCCTCAACTCTTCCCAGTCATGATTGGTCTGTCCACTCTCTCTCCCCAGTCCACTCGTCTTTTGAAACTCCAAAAAGTCCGTTCAGGAGCGGGCGGCTCCCGGTCTGGAAAACTTGTTCGCTTTCAAGATAGCAACAAAACCCCTGACGACACGAGTCCAGTGCACATTGCACCCCAATGTTTATCTTCCACCATGACTCTTGGACCCTTGACGCTTCCCCAAAGGTGTTTGGGTTTGATGTATGTGTCAAACGACAACACGTACTCCTGACAGCCTAAGGAGCACACCTCGTCCAGTGGCACCGCACCAATCTCCTTTGGCAAGGCCGGGTCGATATCTCCCAGGAGATCCACTTAGCAACTTTGACCTCATCCCCTTTGTAGTCAATAGCCCTGACCAATCGATCCCAACCGTGCAAAGTCCCAAACTACCAAACCGTTCAACTTCCAAGATCAGACGGTTCAGAACGATCACTTGTGTGTTGGTGAACTCGCAATCGCGACCGAAACAAGAACCCCAGTAGCAATTCAATGAAGTCACCACGCAGACCATCCAATCTAAAACCCTTCAACTCTTGTCAGGCCAAAGCCCCTCAAAACGAGACCTGGAGGTGGGTAGTGGAAAGAGATCGGAAGGGGATTCCACACCCGTGAGCTTGCTGCGAAGTGGTAGTACCTCCAGGAGTTGTTGAAGGACGATCGAAACCAACGACGAAATCTCGTGCCCCTGAGCTCCCATGCAAAACATGGCTTTTTCGCCTGACAGCGGACGTGCCATCAATGGCGATCCTTGGCCCTCAACGGCTTCAAACAGCGGAGGGCATGGTGAAAAATTTGGCGCGACGGCTCCCAACAAGTGAGCCTCATCAGCTGACCGACCTACTCCGGCCGCTGGTACAAGCGAATCACCATCAACCAGGGGACTCCGCTCACGCCCAGGCTTCTCGCTCTGGTCCCATGAGCTGCTCCCCTTCATAGCCATCGTAGTTCCTGCGCCCTCCAGCTCCCGCCTACAGGAGCTCACTTCGAAGTTGTCTCCTCTTTCTGCCGGCCTGTGTCCTTGCCACTCGACTTGCCTTTGCCCTTCTGTTTGGACTCCTCCGTTCCCTCATGCTGCTGCTCTTGCCCTTTGGGCGCCCGTCTGGGAGCGCCGCTAACTCGTTGGGCGGTAACCATCTCCTCCCTCCCCGCCATCGCCAGAAAGTCTGTCGGAGTGACCTCCAAGCGCTGTGCGACGCTCCAATGCGCCCCGAGGAGCACTGACTCGATTGCTTTCATACGTTGAAGCAGCGCGTCGCACGCACGGGCTGGTCGCCCTTTCAGTAGATGGTCTATTGAGAGAGCCAGTGTCAGCAACTCTCGAAGCACTTCCGAGCTAATTGCTGACGGTGGTACATCAATGCAATCGGCTTCAACTCGTGTTCTCGGCGCCAATCTCCTGCAGCAAACTCCCTTGAACCCGGTTCTCCCCCCTCGCACAGGGCTGTCTCCATATCCTCCAGGCCGCTGGGCGAATCCTCTGTCGAGCTGCTCCAGGAGTTGGAAGATGACCTGTCCTTTGATTTCTTCTTCACTGGTCTCTTTGCAAGACGCAACGCCTCCGAACTTTCTCCCGGGGGTCTAGGCCAGTGCCGCTGAAGAGCGCCTCTTGGCTCTTCGTCACCGCCCCCCCGGGGTCGCTTCCCGTTGAGACTGCTGGAGCCCGACGACGATGTTGCCTTCTTCGCCTTCTCCTCCTTCGATGCCTTGGCTTTCTCCCCAGCCCGGGACGGGCTCCTTGACCGATGCTTCTTCTTCTTCTTGGGGGCCTTTTCTTTCTTGCTCTTCTTGGATCTCTTGCGCCGGCTGCGACTCTTCACCTTCTTCTTCTCTTTTTCTCTTTTTTTCTTCTCTGTCCAAACGGCCGGGCGGGCCAGGTCTTCTCCTCTGGCCCTCAATGCTGCCAGCTCGTCCTCCGCCGGCTCGACCTTCTCCAGGTTTCTTACCCAACCTTCTTCTCCGTCTTCTCTCAAGAGCTTGCGAATCTTCTTCAAAATGGACGAGGTCCTCCGACGTGCGGTCTCCAGTGCAAGTCTCCTCGCACCGATGCAAGCGCAACTCCATGTCGGGGTGACCGGAGTGGTGTCGCAGAAGGCTCTCTGAGGTCGTTCCCGTCAGCTGCAGGGTGTAGTGGATTCCAGAGTCCTGAACGTCCACTCCACGGATCTTCCCCGACCTGGCAGGCCGCACCGAAGTATGAGGCCTCTGGGCACACCTTGGTCCCAACTGTCAACTCCTCGACGCCCAGCTTGTTCAGCTGGGCAACCTCTCCTCTGCGCCATAGCTCCCGGTCCCCTCCTCTCCTCTTTGGTGCAGCTCTCATAGCCCTCACCTTCGCCTTGGCCTTCAACCGGCCTCGCTCACGATGCTTGATCCCTTTGGTTCCTCGTCGACGAAGTTCCCTTTCCGTCCTCCTAGGCGACCTTGATCTCGATCTCCTCCAAGTGCCTCGCTCCCGCCCCGATGAGCCACCCCCGTAATGAGGTGGAGGGAAACTGGGCCCGGCTGGGTATCGAGGAGCTGGTGGAGGCGGCGGCAACGGTGGGTTGAAGTGCTTGGCAACACTTCTCCAAGCGGCTGGCCGTAGTCCGTATCTGGATGGATCCCTTTCGAGATCCTGTGGTGTGGGGTCTGGACCCCTGGCACTTGAGCTTCTGGCGAGGATGGGTGTTGGTGCTTTCTCAACAACGTCCTCCTTGGGCTCCTTCTCCTTCTTACTCTTCTTCCTTTCTGTACGGCTTTTCTTGCCTTCCCTTTTGGACCCGGTGGTCGACTTGTGTTTCCTCCTCCTTTTGGGCTTCTCCTCGCTGTTCTCCTTGATCCCCTCTCTTCACCTCCAAGGGCTTTTCGTCCTTCTCCTTCTTGTCACCTTCAGGGGCCGCAGGCTCCCCGACTCCAACCTCCTTCGACTCAACCTCCGGGCCGCTCTCACGTAGTTCTTGTGCTAGTATTGGCGCCGCTTCCTCGGCCAAGTCGGTGAGAGCACCTGCGCAGTTTCGAAGGATGGCAAGGACCGGTGCTTCCTGCCTAATCAGTAGGAGCTGTCCTTCCACGAGCTCCCGAATGCGACGAAGCGTTCGACACACCTGACAGGTGGGCGATCCGTCGAAAGTGTGGCAATTGCCACACCTCATCAACCTGTAAGCCGAAACGCTAAGGAACCAAAAACGTGCAAAGCTTCTTAACCCACGGGGGCGTAGGTACATTAATACATATATTAAAGTGTATGATAGTGTATGTATGTATATATGCATGCGTGCGTGTTCTTGAGAGGGCGCGGGAATTGTTTGGTGGGTCAAGGGTTCTTCTGGGACTGCAAAACCTGCCTCATGGTCAAGCTCACAAAATGAGAAGCTACCAGAAAGCCAACGGAGGCCACCAAAAGAGACGAAAGGCAATCAAAAGCCATCAAAAGCCAGGAGAAGTCTCCAAAGCTGACAAACCGGAAAAAGTAATGAGACATTACTGAAGGCACTAAAACAACAACATCAACAACAATGTGCCCCACAAATTACCCCTGCTCAGGGTCCTGAACCCACTTGATCGCCTCATCCTGAAACCTCTTTTTGGTCTCCAGCGACGCAATCTCACCTCTGTACTTCTTTGCCAAGCTGAGAGCCTCCACCACATTCCAGCATTCGCGCCACTACGCGGCTGGGTCCGCCCGTACCGGGAGAAATGTTGTGGTAATGTTGCGGTATCTGTGGCGTTAGAGTATCGTTGCAAGCACTGGTGGTGGCTAGATTCAAACTGCTTAAATAAAAAACATTCCCATCATCCCGGTTCTATATAATACCTGGCTAATACGAACTCGTAGCCAGCTAGAGCCGTACCATGAAGCCCTTGTTCTACCTGGCTACTTTTGACCAAATCTAAAACATATCATGCTGCTCATCATGAATCAGCAGTAATGTCCAACAAATATATATATATATATATTTGCACTACCAAGTTGCCTTCACCATCTTTTCCCGAAACTTCAGCTCTTTCTCTTGGATTTCCTCAGTATCTTGGCAACTGCGTTTTTGGATGTGTTTGGGACTTTGGCAATACATCCACGGCCTAACATGTCAACTATGCCAGTGCAAGCTATGTACCTGGTATTTCTTTTCGGCAACTTTCTTTGCCTGAAGAGACCTCTCTGCCTGGCCGCAACTCGTAAAGATTGAATTGAAACAAGAAGTCAAAGCCAAACCGAACCTCTTCCTCGGGTTTCAGGTGCACCCTCGGCCAGGAGCCAAACAAAGCCATGAAACACAGCTGTTTCATCATGAAGAGTGGCCCATTGACCCTGAGCTTGGTTCCGGGATAGGGCACGGTCTGTCTTGGCATCCAGAGATTGATCATCAGGCTGCTCGTCTGCAACTAGGTCTGCCTTCCGAGGTTGACTCCGCCAGAGCATGAGGTTACATTCACATCCACGATATTAGCATCCAGTGCAAAACATCTATATGAGCCCGTCAAGCCTCCCAGTTCCCCGTGGGAGATCCATAGAATCCATACCTTGCAAAATCTAGAATCTAGCAAATGATGCACCGATTCTCACAAGATCGTTGCCAAAATCCGACACCCGTGCTTCATGCAATGCATCCGGGAAGCGTCGATTTGTCCAGGAAGTTTTCCTTTACTTTTTTGACCTGTATGCATAACGATCCATTCCGACGTAAAACACTAATCTTTTTTATCTGAATGTATCTGGCATCCCGGCATTCAAACAATACGGGCAAGAAGCATGCTCTTGCACATGACAAGTTATATAAGCAAATTCAACTGGGGCACGACAAACCTGTTTTGCAAACAGTGGCCTGATCAGAAGGCTGATGTGCCGAAATCCTAGGCTTGAATCTGAAGTAGTGACCAAAGCAAACACATGCAAGAGCAATAGCATTTCCATGTCTTACTCATTAATCTTGCATGCCCCAAGTATCGAGAAGCCATGGTCCCGAGGCAAACAGGCCGCTGGTGACCAAGCAGCTATCAGCACCTTGGCCATATGTGGCAGCCATTCCCACATGGTCTGCTTACAAGCTTCTTCACCACAAGGGGTGCACTTACGACATAATTAAGTGCAACCAAGACCTTTTGCCCTAAGTCTCTCTCTCTCTCTCTCTACTATATCTCCATCTCACTCTCGCCATCGTCGTTTGGTGGGGCCCGGTGGGATTTCCACTCAGCTGCATGTGCTTGCCGGGATTGAAATTCAGATAAGACATACAGTAGTTCACGCCCTTCAGGTATCTTCAGGCACTATTGACCATTGAACCATTGCAAACATCGCATGGTCCACCAATGGCAGCTCAGGTTGCAAATATGCGATCTTTGTTGATTGATTTTGGCTTTGGAATGCCAAAATAAGCTACACACAAAGGGCAGTTTGCACCAGTCACCAGTTGGCGTGGCTTTTGGAGGGCTTTTTTGTAAAAGATCCGCAAAAGTCAGAACAGATCCGCAAAGGACAACTGTAAAATAATCGGTGGCGACATCTCAGAAAGGCACCCGAACCGGTCTAAAGAAGGTCCTTAAAAAGATGTAAAAAAAGGCATCTAATTACATCGATAAAACACGGATGTCTAAAGGCTTAAAGAATCTTCAGCGGTGACATCTCAGCATGGTACCAATGCCCATGAAGGGTTCATACTTCATTGGGTGCTGCCCTATGGCAGGTCTGAGCCAAAGGCAATCAATAGCATGCTGCGGCTGAGGCTGTGTGGACATGGATGAGCCATACATTTGCCGTTACTTGTGTGCGGTTTGCCCGCAATTGTTTTGAAGACCTGTGGTTGGGTCTGCTATAAATAGAACAGTTTCATTTCATGCATGGCCAGCTCAATTAGGGGGGAGACTCAAAGCAGCCAAGAAAATCGATAGTCACAATTGCGGCGGCCTGTTCTACCAATTGTGCTTCCAATTCCTCTCTCTCGCGGCGTCTTTGCTCCTCTGCCTCCTGCATTCGGGTATGAGATGCAAATACTTTTGCGTATTTGCAACATTTTGCAACGGCATTAGTCATATTCTCCGAGTGCCTTTGCCCAATAGTCCTGGCCTTATGCTAGTAACAAGGGCATTCACTACTAGTAGCAAAAAAGTTACTACTTGCTGTCATCATTTGTCCTCCGCTACTAGGGTCCTCCGCTTGCCGACGTTCCTCTTCTTCTCTAGCTTTGCGTCGTGCATCCTATGCTTTGGATGCAGCTTTGTCAAGCCACCAGCCAAGCATGTTTTAGGGGTGAAGTCTTCCAAACATTTTTCTATGAATTCTGCATTTGGCTCACGTTGACTGCAAATTGCCAGTATGCCACGACCCCAGCCAATGTGTGGGTCAACTAAACTAGTACCTAAAATTGCTGCATGCTCAAGTCTTCCCATGAGAGATTTCCAGGGACTAGCAGCGAGTAGGATTCTGCTACGTCAGCTATTTAAGCCGTGCCGGACTGCGAGAATCTGAATTTTGGACCAGTCGTAGATAGCAACGACTCGATTGTACTTGGTCCAAAGCTAAAGAATGGCCGGCACAGTAGCAATTGAACACATGGTGGCAAATACGTCCAAATATGCAGCAAGAGTGTGGCACAAATGCACGTCCTCCTGGGCTTGAACTTCAGCCGCGCGCTCATTGCCTCAGCAAAGCTATGCTTCTCCTTCTACGTCTTGTTCTGCACATAGCTGTGGCCTGTGAGCTAAATCATCCGTTATTTAATACAACGACTGCAAGCAGCCACTGGATCACTACCCGGCGGTAGTCGCTGGGCTGCTTGACCCTCCCGGATGCTAACCAATGCAGCTTTCAACTCGAAACAGGTTGCATGCCTTTGAACATGTCTTTGTCTGGCAAAACCCGAAGCCAAGCCAGAAGTAACATGCTGCAAACGCAGTCTGAAACACGAAGTCTGGAAGAAATCGTTGGAAGAAACAAGTGTGGATTCATGTGGATTCCGGTCCGCCGACTGCGGTGGCACCATCTCGCTGCCTCCGAGTAGTGCTGCTCCTCGCTGGTCTCAATCCGGGCGACCTTGAATTCGAAGCTTTTCACAATTGGAACGCTGAGCAGGAGCATGTTAAAAAGAACAGCCATCACTCATGCTGTCCAGCTAGCAGGAAGGGGTGCTGTCAAAGACATCCAAGAACTAAGATGCCTTGAGCATGGGTTTTTGTCAATATTTTTCACTCTGGGGCCCTCTGGCGCCTTTATGTGCCATGCCAGCTGCCCACCCTCCCTCCCACCCACCTCAAAATAATATATATATATATATTATTATTAGGTGGGTGCACCCACGTGAGCATAGAATTATATGGAGGTAACTTAGGTCAGAAATAATAAACCACACAGCATGATAAGATGGGGGGGGGAGGTGGTATAGACCACCCACCTAGGTGGGTAGATATATGGGGACAGCTCCTAGGAATGTGTTCAGTAATAGCAAACGTAGGTGGTTCAAGCGCAACCACCTACAAAATAATAATCGCGCCCTCTTTTCTGCCATTCTCTCTCGGTTTTTCTGTGGTACCGTGAACGTCTGACTCCCACATCAATCAGCTATGCTGATTAGGGAAAAACCCAGTGGATCCACCCTATCAGGGGGCTACCTTTATCTGGGATCCATCCATTCGAGCACAAACATAATTTATTTGGCAGGTGGGCCTGTCATCCACCCCCAAAATAAATAGTTACTTGAATATTATTAATGATGTCTGCGGGGTAAGCCTTGCCCCCCTTACTGGTTCCTTCTACTAAACTCCTCAATGTTTTCAACCTGTTCCATGGAATAAGTGGCAAATACTGGCAACATTCCCCCACATTATCTATTATTTAACAGGTCGTTTAGGGGGTACCCCACCCCTGAAATAATTTAATGGACCATATCACGCTAAGCAAAGACTAGAGGAATGTATGATTGCCATAGCACAAATATGTGCAACACTCTTCAGTCATGTCCATTGTCCGTTCTCTTCTTTCCTTCAGCTGTTCTCAATTCATCTCAGAGTAGCATGCCTTCATGTTTCTTCACGTGTCTTCACCATTATTCAGCTTTCAATCCTGAATGGCTCCTGATGAAATGGCAGCAGGTTCTCAGCTCTGTGGACAAGCACACCAAAATATTTTTGCTCTGGCACACGTACCCCTCCACCTGCCAAATAATTTCCAATAAACCCTGCATTATACCTTCTATGTCATTCAGTGTTGAAACTTATTTAGAAACAATATATCAATGCGAACGGATGGAAAGCGTGCCCTGGCCCCGTTCAAGCCCTTAGTTCGACATGAAGCTCGCGCGCAAAAGCTCCTTTTCGCCTGGTTGGGCACTTGAGCCACATGTTTATGGCAAGTGTCCATGTAGCAATTATACTGGGACCTCATCTCTATTCACACCCCCCACATCCGTGCTTCGACGGGGAAGGGAGATGATTGGATGTAAAAAACCGGAGAACAATCATGTTCTCAAAAGTGCGTTGGAGGTCAACCAGTATGTCCTATAAAACTGAATTAGCAAACGATCTTGCATTCGCATGAAATATGGATCAAACAGGTAATGGAGCTACAAACGGAAAACGTGCATCTACCTGTGGTATCATATGATTACCGACGGTGTGAAACACAATCCTATCTCACTCCCATGATGCCAAAATGGTCATCATGAATTACCCAAGATCCCTCAGTACGTGAAGTACTGGAAGTAGTGTGTCGGCACGACCCCAATGCTCAACCATTCGTAAGTTGTCGCATGTAGTCAGCTCCGACAAAACCAATGTAGTCCTTGATGAGCTCAACGTTCCTTGGGTTTCCCCTTCGGATCTGCTCCTCAAAGAGCTTCAATTTCTGTGTTTGGATATCGGATACCTCTATGCCGTAGTAGCGGCATGCAACGAGGATCTCCTTTGTGACATTCTTTCGCTCCGATTTGATGGCGGGGCTAATGTCAATGAATTTGTATGGAGCTGTACCTTCGTCATCTGGCTTCTGGTAGTAGCTGTATCGGCTCGCTCCGAAGGTCTTCCTGATCAAGCGTCTGATGAAATTTGAGATGAATGCCAGCTTCTCGATGATCTCTTCCTGGGTCTCAGATCTTCGAGCTTTTGGATCACTCATGTTACGCCGAGTGCTGCCGACCTCTCTGAGATACTTGTGGCTTAGCCCGCAGCGGATTGCAGTGATCATCATCGGGTGAATAACGTGGGCGTGGAATTCATAGATCTGCCACGCTTCTGTTGCATATGTGTCGTTGGTCCATTTGCTCATGCCCACGACCTCGGCTCTCTGAAGGCGTCTTGGAAACCCAGTATCCGGATCATTCGGTACTAATGGCCATCTATTGAATGGAGTGTCATGCCGCTGTCCATCGTCAAACTTTCGCAGTACGTCTTCACGATTCTCAAAGCAATTGATGTCGAACGTTGCGTTGGCCAAGCTCTTGATCAACTTCATCAACCTCAGATCAAATTGCTGTGTGACTGCAAAGTTGTGGTCGATGGGGATCGCGGCTTCCTGTGGCAATTCGTCAATTGCGAAGGGGAAAGGCTGTGGAAGTTCATTCCCGTATCCATCTTGAGGGACCTCCCGATACTCGGGTTCGCCTTCAGCTTCGTCCGGTCGTTCCTTCATGATGATAGGAACTCCCTCGTCTTCCTCTCCTTCGGATTCCTCGACGTCAATGACTTCTTCGGCTGTCTTGCGTGCTTTCTTGATGACTTCGTCGATGTTTGCACCTGCAGAAGAAGTCGCTTCACCGGAAGAACTGGCTGGCACGTCTCTCGGAGGTGATCGTTGATTGCGGTCCCTTGTCTCCTTGGGTACCACATGCGTGAGCTTCCCATTCGCGATCAAAACCGCTACGCAGTGCGGACATATCGTCAATCGCGCATCGACCTCGCCAAGGCAGTTAGGACACGGTCTTGAATCGTAGTCTTTCATTGCTCGGCGATATACGATCTCCTCAAAGATCTCCTGCCACTCAGTGCTATCATATTCTGGGTAGATACCACTCTCCTCGATCGTGCCCAACAGCTTTGAGATTTTGGCGTCGTCCTCGGAGTAGGTATCGTCCTGGACCTCGATCGCCAAACTCTCAAGCTTTTGATAGCGTGGAGTCATGATCGGGTTTCCGTATTTGGACTCCAGAATAAGGTAGCTTCCAGGGTCGGGTTCTCTATTGAGTAACCTGATCCATTCGATCTCCTCAGGCTGTCCGGGTTCTGCATTGTCGCATTGCAACCATGCCCCTTTAACCTCATCGAAGGGAACGACATCCTCAACCAATAGAGATCCAGTCGCTGAGATGAGAAGCCCGTACTCCTGCAGCTTCCACACCGGAATGTAGAGAACCACTGGGCGATCACTCAATGCGACCTTACGACCCAGCCAAGGTTTTCCCTTGTAGCCCTGTTCCCAGGCCCATGGCGGAAAACATGTGAAGTGGATAGAATCCCTTCCCGATAAACCGAGACCTCCTGGCACCAGCCCCCGTCGCATGATTGAAGTCAGCGCTCCAAGGTTGGTAGCGTGAAATGCAGTCACCATGGATAGGGCCATGTCGTTGGTCATTCTCGATCCAATGTGGTCGATGTTGATGGTGACGTCATAACCTCCGCCGTCCGACGAGTGTGCTGAGGTTGCTCTTACGGCCACGGGAAAGCACCATCCATCGCTATTGTGGAGTCTTGCTTTGGTGATT